CTGTGGGGCCGTTTTGGAAGCGGGCAAATGCAGAATGCAGCAGCTCGGCTGTTGTCACGAGCCGCTTCTCTTCAGCTCGGCAATGCGCCTGCCGAAGGAACTGCACTGTGTATTTGCTACTAAGGCAGCTTTAGGGCTAGAACTAGTGTCCAAAGCCCTGGCCACTGTGGGGTGAGGACACCCGAGAGAGCACCTTCTTTCTTGCCACCCTGCCCAGTCACCGAGGTCCTTTGAGGAGTTCCTCCTGGTGGACCCTTGGCCTGACTGGAGTCCACCAGGAGAAGAGCTTTCACTGCGGTAGCCCCACCTCTGGGGCATTCCTTGCCTCAGGGGGTCAGGAGGCACCGAGACTGAGCTGTTTTTGGCACCTGCTCGTGACAGTTTTGCTTGGTGAAGCCCTTCTTGCCGCCTGGTTTTAATGTTGGCTTGCTCCCAATGCTTTTCATGCACTCTTTCTGTTTGCACTTCGTACTGTTCATGATTCCGGCATCTGCTGGAATGTGGAGTGAGAGAGAGATAGTGTAAAGCAATTAATAAGTAGAAGATATTTAAAGGTAAATGTTTTGGCTTCTGTCTTCAGCAGCAGTTTATATTATTATAATATATTAGTTATATAGTGGTTATCTTATTATATAATCATTGTGATTATTATATAAACAGAACCACACAGAGACAGACAAAGCCTATCAGTGTGTCCGTAGAAACAGCACTGGACTGAGACTTGTGAGATCATGGCTGAGCCATGAAGCTCACTGGGTGTCTCTGGGCCCATCACTCACTCTTACCCTAACCTACCTCACAGGGTTGTTGTTATAAGGACAAAATGGACTCCAACGGGCCTTGCAAGAGGGGAAAAAAGGTGGAATATAAATGCAATATAATAATAAATAGATAGGATCATGGGTTGATAACATGGTGCGACTGGATTTTCTTTCTGATGTCTTCCAAGGTGCCCAACACTTTCCCTATCAGAGTAACTGCAAATACATTTTCTCATTGGCATTTTTCTTATTTATGAAATAGGATTCCATTGCTGCTGGGAAATGATAGGTTCAAAGGGGCTGTGTAGTTTTGGGGCTTCATCCCCAGCTCTGCCTCATACTTAGTCTTTTGGGCAGGGTACCTGTTCTTTGCCACTCCTGCCACGGCAGCCATCTTGTGGCAGTGCCCAGTTCCTGTCCGGTGTGCCCATGGACCCAGAAAGTTCCCCACCTTGCATTTGGGCAGATTAGAGACTTTCTGGAGGAACCCAACGGATGTTAAAAGCTGCACGACACGAGTTCAATGGTCCAATCACCCAAGCTGGTGATCAAGTGTCTTTAGAAGAGTCTGTAATTCAGTGGAAGAAGAATTTGTGCCATGCAAAACAACCAGCTTAACAGCCCAGCATTGGAACTTAAAACCGGGCTGAGGAGCCCAAGTTGCACTGCTGATGCTCACTCGCCCGCCGCTTGTGGGCTTCCTGTGGGCAACTGGTTGGCCGCTCTATGAACAAAATGTCTGACTGGGTAGGACTCTGGCTTGCTCCAAGATTCTTGTGACTCGTATGTCCTTTTTGGTCTGAGATCTGAATTTTAGCAGCGGATGTGATCCCAGCCCAAATCTGAACAGAACCAGAGCGAAACATGAGTTGCGTTGCAAACACGACTATTAGATTTCTTTGGCTCCTACTGGGGCAGGGAGGCATTTGCATTCTCCTTCCCTTTCCTGACTTGTACGAGATTCCCTTTATCAGCTTTCTAGCTGGGAGATGGAGCACCGTAGGGCAAACAGCATCAGTGATGCAGGGGAGGCTGCTGAAGGGACACAAACGGGCCTTGCCCAGGGAAAAGTCAAGAATGCACCTGCCCCAACTCTAAGATCTTCCACAGATGTCCTTTTTCGGAAGCCCTTTCTGAAGGAGGCTAGAAGCTACCCAGGGAAGGGCCTTTTCTGTGGTGGCTTTGGAACCTACTTCCCAGAAAGGTGGACCTGGCACCAACATTTTATTCTTTTCAGCACCAGGCCAAAGCTTTTTTATTCACCCGGTATTTTAAGAGTTGATTGTTTTATAAGATAATTGGGATTATTTTACTGTATATTTTATATTGCATTTGTATTTTAATTGTGCTGTTACACTTCTGGTTTTGTAAGCCCTCTTGAGATCTTGGATAAAGATAGGATAAAAATGTTTTAAATAAAGAAATATGTAAAGGGAGATTCCCGAAGGCCTGATTTTGGCTCGCTGGATAGAGGTTCACCACTCATAAAGCAGCTTCATCAATTAAGAAGTGGAAGGAGAAAATCCAAAGAGACAAGTAAACATGTTTTCAATATGCAAAAGACCGCCAGGAGAAAAACAGAAATACTTTTTCCTTTAACAAGGGCAGAACAAGATGCTTCATGTTTAAAACAGCTCAAAAGGAACAAAGAAACCAAAAGGAAGTTCAGATGGAAGTGTGCACATTTAAACAGAACCTTTTAGTCCAACAAACATGAATGCCACGTCTTTCCCCCAAGCACAAGAATACTTAAACAGCTGCGGAGCTTCCAAACCCCTGCCTTCCAAAACAAGAGAGAATGTCTGTGTGGATTTTTTTAAGATGGGGTGCTGTGCTTCAGGGCCAAGGGTCAAACTTGGCTTTCCTGGGGGCCAAGTCCTGTTCTCTGGCATTTGCCAAACGGCCCCATGCATGTAGGAGCCCCCAACTTTCGCATGTCCCCCTCTCCCGACACTGCCCATTCTTGAAAATACCTTTCCTAAGGCTTGGCTAATGGAAGGAAGAACTTTGAGGCACAACTCTTCACACGTTCAGACAGCTGGGTAGTTGGGAGTTACACAAACTTTTCTGGCTAGGCATACAAAGGGTTGTGCCTTAAAGATAAAAGAGCTGGCATGTTGCCCCTTCGCTTCTGCTGTAAGCCCTGCCTGCTGCAAGTCACCTCCACACTTGAATTTGGCCCTCAAACTGGAATCCACACCTTTATTTGATAGCTGGGAGGAGGGCCAGGGCGTCCGTCTTTGGGGCTCCAGAGGGTCAAAATGGGCCCTCAGGAAGGTCGGTTTGACCCCTTGGCCTGAGCATCTGCACCCTTGTTATAAAAGATGCATGTTAAAAACAATAAAATAAGTTCAGGTTTTATAAGTAACTATTGCATATAATTCAATTTGCCCAGCATGTCCACTTCCTACTCTGCCCCCCAGAAATGTTTTTTGCCCCCCTAACTTCAGGTTTTCCAGATTTTCCATCTGCAACACCAACACACAGACACACACTCATTGTGACATCTCAGACTTGTTGGCTCAATAGGGTGGTGGAGAATCTTGGATTCCCCAGTCAGCTTGCAGCCCCTAACGCAAGGTGATGGGAATGTGTGTCCCTCCAGATGGTGCTGGACTACAGCTTCCATCACTCCTCACTACTGCCTACACTGGCTAGGACTGATGGGAGCTGGATTTGTCCTTACAAGTTCACATCAGTGTCCTCCAAACCAGTGCCTTGCAGATATTTAGGGCTACAACTCCAATCGTTCAATGGCAATTCTAGGTGGGACGAATTGAGCTTTAGCCCAACAACTTCTGCAGGGATCTAGGATGGACAGGGCCAGTCTACCTACAGAATGTTGCTCGAAGGGACCATTCTGAAGGCAGTTTGCCAGTTCCACGGAAAACTGAAGTGTTTATGGCTCAGTTTCTTTGCAGTCCTACAGCTGCTTTCTTCCAGAAGAATACTAATGGAGCACTTCCATTTCTGAATCCTCTAGACTCCTTTGCCCTCTGGATAACCTTCTCACTAGGAAGGAAAGAGCCCTTCATAGGAAAATCCTGTGTCTTTCTGCCAACCAAGCAACCTCTGCACCCCGCCAGACCAGAAAGCCATGCAAAACACTCCTCAGACCTCATATTCTATTACCCAAGAAAAGGATTTAGAAAGTGCTAACTAAAAGCCTTTGCCTCTAAGTCCCTTGGGTATGGGAGTTAATCGGCAGCAAGGACATTTATGTATTTATTTATATTTATCCACCCATTTATGTGCTGCCTATAACTGCCAAAGGCCTTCCTAGGTGGCTTTGCCACTCCTCCTTCCCTGGGGGTAGTCAGTCTGCGATGCCATACCCCTCTTTCAACAGGCCGATGGGTTATTTGCTCATGCATTAACTTTTCCAGACCGCTTTTTAGGGCTCCTCAAAGCCCTGAGCAAGGGTTCAGCGCCCAAGCAGGTGCCACTGACTGTGAGAAAAGACTGAAGCCACATGGAGGCATTCAGGTGACTCACCCAATTCCAGCTCTGTAGGAAGGAATTACCACCCCAAATTTCCTTCCTTTAAGCGAAGGAGGGACTTTTGGCAGGCATGGCCCATCAGGGAGTCATAAAAGGGTGAGAGATCAAACAGCCCATCCACCTTCATAGCTACAATAGTACTGGGGGAGGGGGGCAGCTCTCTCTCCCCCCACACTATGTCCCACTGACTTCTGCATCAAGAGCCAGGATATGGAGGCTTTGCACACTCCGTATCAACAAGCAATTTGGGCCTGGTAACGATCATGTACAGGGAGGAAAATAATATACATATGACCACAATTATTTCTAATTTATCAAGAACATTACTAGGGTCTGTTTTTAACATGTAATTTTAAAAGCACCTCTGGCTAGGAATGAAGGGCTTGGTGACAGGTCACCCTTCCTTCCGGTGGACAAATCCACTACTGTTCTAAGCAACCATACCAAATTCTCTGGAAGTTACACCACTGGAAAGTTATGGGGGGAACATTCCAGGTTAGGCCAAGCCATGGATTTCTTCGTTTTCCAGCAGAGATTCTCTGACATGGCATAATGAGGATGTTGCTTTTGCAATCAGGATTGCCTTTATTCCCATTTTGATCTCCCTCAAATGATTTTATTTCTCAATTTGTAGGAAGGAGTCATTTCTGACTGCATGAAATTCCTGCAGTCTACACAGTGGGCACAGGGGCTCTCCTGCATAGATTCTCTGTTGTCTGAAAATAGGAGCTTCCAAATTCAGACTGCACATTTATATGTTTTCACCCTGGTATGGATTCTCTCATGCTTAATAAGGTTTGACCGCCAGCTGAAGCACTTTCCACAATAGGAACATTTATAAGGTTTTTCTCCTGTGTGGATCTGCTGATGCTGGAGGAGATCTGAGCCCCGACCAAAACATTTCTCACACTCGGAGCATTTATATGGCTTTCCTCTTTTAAGGATTCTCTGATGACGGAGAAGGTCAGAGCGGTGCCCAAAGCTTTTACCACAATCTGAGCACTTGTATGGTTTCTCACCAGTGTGGGTGCGTTCATGAGCCAAAAGACCCGAGCTCTGGCTGAAACTCTTCCCACACTCAGCACATGTGTACGGTTTCTCCCCAGTGTGGGTTCTCAAATGTCTAACGAGGGCTGTGCGCTCACAGAAGCTTTTCCCACACTCAGTGCAGCGGTAAGGTTTCTCTCCTGTATGGGTCCTCTCATGGGCCAAAAGGCCTGAGCTCTGGCTAAAGCGCTTTCCACACTCCGTGCATCGATATGGCTTCTCTCCTGTGTGGGTCCTCTCATGGGCTGAGAGGCCTGACCGCCGGTGGAAGTTCTTCCCGCAGTCGGGACAAGTGAAAGGCTTCTCACCAGTGTGGGACCTCTCGTGAGCCACAAGGGCTGAACTCTGGCTGAAACATTTCCCACACTCCCCACATTTGTAGGGTTTCTCCCCCGTGTGAATCCTCTCGTGTGTAGTGAGGTGGGACTTCCGGCTGAAGCTCTTGCCGCATTCGCCACAGTCGTAGGGTTTCTCCCCCGTGTGTGTCCGCTCGTGTGCAATGAGGTGGGACTTCCGGCTGAAGGTCTTGCCGCACTCGGGGCAGCCGTATGGCTTCTCGCCTGTGTGGAGCCTCCGATGCCTGTACAGGCTGGAACTTTGCTTGAAGGTTTTGCCACAGTCCATACACATCTTCAGCCCACCATAGTTGTAGATTCTGGCTCGAATCCTTGATTCTTTTAAATCCCAGTGGCCTTTGTCATAAGGTAGGACGGGAATATCTATACTCTTGTCCAGGTTCTTTCCTTCAACCCTCTTCACTGCACCCTGGTGACTGCCAGATGTTTCCCCCATCTCAGAAAAGTGGGAAATGCTCCAGGAAGCGTCTCCGCTCAAGGTTTCCCCATCTGGCTCAGAATTGTCCGCCTGAAGGTTCTCCTCATCTTCTGCCCCTGCTGAGAGGAACAGAAGACCCTGACATGAGAAATTCAACCCTTGAGCTGTGAGGGGCTGCAGACTACAGGAGTTTATGCCTAACAGGAATTTATGCCATTCTTTTGTATAGCTTAGAACCCCACGCTGGTCCTCCTCAACCTGGTGCCTTCCAAATATGTGTGCTGGAATCCCCCACTGGCCATGCTGGCTCAGTATTATGGGAGCGGCCGTCCCACACAAGTGGAAGGACTGAGGTAAGTAGGCATCCTGAAGCAGAGAAAAAGAATATCCAAGGTATCACACAAATAAAAGTGGACAGATTTTCTAAAAGTCAGAGAAAATGAATACAGGCAGTTCCTGGGTTACAAATGGGTTCCATTCCTGAGAACATCTTTAAGTCGAATTTGTATGCAGGTTGGATCACGTACATAAAGGTCATATTTAGCACGAGTAAGCCAAATACTTATCTTAGTGTACCTCTCTGTTTTACCTTTTCATACATATAAAACACTTAAGAAACACTTCCTTATACAGTCAGCCCTCCAAATTGGCAGTGGTAGGACCCCCACCAGAGGAAAAACCACAAATATCTCTCCCCCCCCCACCACCTTAACTCTTAATACTGTTGACCAAATGTGTCCTAGATTGCTTCTCCCTCTCTTTCTCAGATCTTGGTCTGATCCAGCAGGGATCCTTCTCTTCATATATTACATTCTTATGGACTTATTCCCTGCCCTCCCTTTCAGTCACCAGTGCCTTCTCTTTGCACCAAGCAAATGCTGGAGGAACTTCCCTCTCCAGATAGGCAGGGCCTGAAGCCATGCTTCCGAGGCCCCCCTCTCTCCCCTTTCGCTTCCTCTCTCTCTATGGTGATACTTTCAGAGGCCCCCCTCGCTTCCCTTTCACTTCCCCTCTCTCTCTATGGCGATGCCTTGGAGGCCTCCCTCATTCCCCTTTTGCTTCCTCTCTATGGTGATCACAAGCGGCTCTGCATCCGTAGTTGCCACAGAACTCCAAAAGTTCCTGCAATCATTAATATGAAATGTTTGTTTTTAAGTAGAATGTTTAAATTAATGGGCTTTATGGCAGTTCGTTCATAAGCATGGATATCTAACTCGGATGTTTGTAAGTCAGGGAGTGATTATAATAATCCAGAATTAACGAGAGAGCTCCCGCTTACCAAGCGAGGCTGTATCCTCATCATCATCCTGCTTAAAGCTGTGCTCCTGCTCAGCGTCGGACGGAAGCGGCTCTGCATCCAAAAGACTGCCCGCCAGCACCTGCCATGCAAAGTTGACAGATGACTCAGCCGGGAGCAGCAAGTACCGGAAACAGGAATGCTTTTTAAGAAAAACAACTTTTAAAAATTAAATATGAATAATGGTTACCCTTAAAAAAGGCACTTCTCCAATCTAATAGCACCACAATACGAATTCAAATGCAACATTTAATGAGGGATCCCGGTTTTCAGTGCAGAATCACCGAGTTACTAGTCAGGATGGTGAAATGAGACTTCCAGGATGAGAGGCACCCAGTAACAGTGTTCTCTGGATGGCTTGCAAACAATAAATATGAATATACAATAATCATCAGCGCATAAAAGCAATGAAAATAAAAAAGAGAAACAAATTCCAGGATAAAAACTCAGCTGCAAAGAGTAAAACAGTTTACAGAAACAAACGGCATCATTCAAAGAACAGCACAGACCTACATTCCAGTGGAGTCTAAGGTTCGTAGCGGAATTGCTTGGGAAAATGAAAAGGCCTTGGGATGCCACTGCCAAGGCCACAGAGGTGATGCCACGGATAGCATCCCAGCATCCCACCCCCTGGGGGCCCCCTGCGAGAAGGCCCTTCCTCCAGTAGCCTCCAAGCTTTGGAGCCGCCTTGGGCACAACACGCCCCACGGCCCCCTCCCGCAGCAAGGCTGCCGCTCGCTCGTCTCCTCAACAGGCCGAGCCGGGAAGGGAGCTGGCTGTGGCGTTTGCGGCTGCTCCTTCTCGCCACCGCTGCTGTTTGGGCCAAAGGGAAAGGCAGGTGGACAAGCAGGATGCGGCAATGAGGAGAGCGCCAGCCATTCCAAGGAGTGCTGTCAGTGAGGTCCAGCTGGAGTGTGGGCCCTTGGCATGGGCCCCGCCGTGCCTACCCTTGAACCCGGATCTGCTTCTACCTCCCTTGCTGTGGGCACCTGAAGACGGAGCTTCTGCCCGCTGAGAACAGGGCAGCTGCACGTGTGGGGGAAAGGATCCTCCGAGCGATCTGGTCCCAGGCTTTTTCGGGCTTCAAAGCCACGGCCGACACTTTTGAACTGGGCCAGCCAAGCAAGCTCACCTGTTGCTCCCATCTCTCAGTCTCCCTCTGCCTCAGCAGAAAGTCCTCGGCCAGGGCCACGACCTGGGCGCAAATCTCTGGGCCGCGCTCCTGGACCCAGCTTTCCATTCCCGGAGAAAAGAACCGCCGTGGCTTCACTCAGAGAGGTTCCAAAGCAAAGACGAGACCAAATGGGAGGAAGAGCGAGAACAGCAGCCGTTATTTCCGCCGTTTTCTACCAAGGAGCTTTGGACAGCACAGACAGCCGCCCCATCTTCATCTCATTCCCACAACGATCCTGTAAGGTAGGCTAAGCAGAAGAACATAAGAGGAGCTGTGCTGGGTCAAGTTAAAGTCCAGCATTTTGTTCACAGTGGCTGACCGGTTGCCCACAGGAGACCCACAAGCAGGACAGGCGTGCAAAGGCACTATCCTGCCCATGTTCCCCAGCAGCTGGTGTGCATAGGCATGCTGCCTCTGGTACTGGAAGCAGCACAGAGCAATGAGGACTAGCAGCCACTGAGAGCCGCCTTGTCCATGAATTGGCCCAAACCCCTTTGAAGCTGTCCAAATGGGTGGCCGCCACCAGTTCTTAGGATCGGAATGCCCATAATAATAGCATCAACCACCTGCATCCACAAGAGAAATTAATCTGAAATGTTTGTTTGTATTAGATTTTTATTTTTTACCCCACCCCATTAGCCATAAGGACGCCTTACAAATATCTGCAACTTTACTTGCTTGTGAATCTCCCTTGTTATTCTTGCCTCTTTCCCTTTGAAGGTTTGTCCACTGTTACACTTTTGACTGTAAGCTCTTTGGAACAGAGTCCTTTTTAAAAACTTATTACTCTGTAATACAGCCTTTCTCAACCTATTCTCTTCCACCTGTGAACAGGTTTTGGGATTGTGAGGGTTGTGAGGGCACATTAGGAAAGATGCTATAAAATACATTTTTCTAATCAGAATAGCATACTGTAATTTAGTAATTACTAGTAATAATTAGTAATTTAGTAATTATTTATTAAAATACTTATATCCTGCTGTTTGAGTTATAGATAAGAATGTAAGACTGGCTTTCATATAATACTTTTGCAAGGGTTGCTATTCATATCCTAGAGACACGGAGCACTTTTGACTGGACAGAGGCCTTTCTGGGTGGGGAACATGGGAAGCCTCAGGACAGTTTTCGGTCAAAGCATGCATAAGCACCTCAACCCCACCTCTTTCTCTGCTTCTCTCTTTCTAACTCTACAGAGTTGTGAGAAAAGTGAAAAGTGAGCAAAACCATTTGCCAACACCATCTCCCTAAAGAACAGGATAGGAATATGAGTAATACATCTGTACAGAATTTCTCAGGCTTGAGATTTACTTGAGATTTTCTTTTTAAAGGGACCCAGAGTTTTGATACCTAGTTCTGAAAGCTGTCAAAACTCCCTTGGAAAGGTGTGTGGAGAAGTGTATATTTGCACTTTCCTGAGCACCTACATGAACTTTGGGATAGAATTAAGAGAGGAAAAACTTGGAGCATCTTGCTGCAAAGGGATATTAAAGCACCCGTCCCCTTTTTGCAATGAAAGGTCACAAACACCCTTGGGTTTTCTTGATAGCTCACATTCTGATGGCTGTCACAAAGAACCAAAAGGGGCAGGCAGAAATGTATTTATAGCATTCCCCTTAGCATCCTTCTCAACATTACTACAGTTGAGGCTTCAAGGCCTCTACAGTTTGAAGCCAGATTTTTTTTTTAAACAATGGGGAAACAATTTTTCGCTCAAAAATATTGGGGATGGGAGGAAACAAGCTGGAAACAACAGCTAGCCCTTCTAAGGTGACAGCCAACATCCCCAAAGTTTGAAAAAATGGTGAAAGACAAAAAAATAAAATAAAAATGAGAAACCCTGATCATAATAGGGGTGGGGGGAAGCCAGTGTCTGCTGCCCCCAAGTACCACTTGGGTTATTTGGGTATAGCTGGCACTGGCGCTCACCCAGAGTAAAGTGACAAGGGAATTTTACTTGCTCTGAGGCTTGCTAGTTAATTACTCCTACTAATGATGGGGTTGACAACCCCTAGGACATGCCATGGTTTGTTGGGGTGGCTTGTTGCCCATGCTGCGCCAGCCTGTAGGCACAGCACAACAGCCCAGCATGGGCAGCAACCCATGATGTGCTGAAGCAGAGTCATGGAAGCGTTACATCCACTAGTGTCTGCCAAGATTAAGATGCTGATAAAAGGCACAGAAGTGAGAGCCGATAAAAAGACTTTGGTCCAGTTCACACCACACAGCTGCCTCCCACATGCCCACCACTCCTATTTAGCAATCCACTAGCAGCTCTTCTGTAGGATGTGGAATTCGGCATTCAAAGCCCAAAGCACTGCTGGGTTAACTTGTTTAGCCCTGAATTTGGCTGACATGCTCAGCAAGCAACAAAGGAGCT